TACCCTCATTTTATAGGTGAGGAAAATGAAGCAGAGAGAGAGAAAGGAGTTTGTTCACATCTAGAAAGTTGTAGATATAATGGGACTTTTTTGTTTGTTTGTTTTTAGTTTGGATTTTGTTTTTGGTTTGAGTCAGGGTCTCACTTTTGCCCAGGCTGGAGTATAATGGCACAATCATGGCTGTATACCGCCCCAACCTCCTGGGCTCAGGTGATTCTTCTGCCTCAGCCTCCCAAGTAGCTGGAACTACAGGCACACACGATCATGCCCAGCTAAGTTTTTGATTTTTTTTTTTTTGTGGAAACGAGGTCTTGCTATGTTGCCCAGGCTGGTCTCCAACACCTGGGCTCAAGCCATCCTCCCTTCTTAGCCTCCTAAAGTGCTAGAATTATAGGCGTGAGCCACCATGCCAGGCCTGGAGATAGTGTTATAATGTAAGCTGTTTAGCCTGAAGCAGTGAGGCTAATGACTTTTGCCACACTGCCTACTGATTTACATAAATCACCTGAATTATCAGGGGATTTTTTTTGTTTGTTTGTTTGTTTTGAGTTGGAGTCTCACTCTGTCATCCAGACTGGAGTGCAGTGGCCACTCCCAACCACTGCAGCCTCAACCTGCTGGGCTCTGGCAATCCTTCCGCCTCAGCCTTCCAAGTAGCTGGAACTACAGGCGTGTGCTACCACGCCCGGCTAATTTTTTGATTTACTGTAGAGATGAGGTCTTGCCAAGTTGCCCAGGCAGGTCTCGAACCCTCAGGCTCAGGCAATCCACTCACCTCAGCCTCCCAAAGCGCGGGATTACAGGCTGAGCCACCGAGCCCAGCTAATTAACAGTTTTTACCGTGAAGCAGAAACATCTTAATTTTTTCCTTCAGTTACTTACTTTTACCATATAATTGCATGTATCTATATTAAATCAGTTAAGTTTCTTTTAACTGATTTATGGTATATGTGCTCAATTTTTATGAATTTTGATTTGACTCTGACTTCATGTTAGTCAAAGAAGCAACAACAAAAGTAAACCTGGTAAAATATTTTTTGAAAATCGCCCCTTGGTAAACTTGAAAGTCCATTTACTTAGCATAACTTCTTTCCCTGTAATATTCATCCAAGCACAGAGTTTGTCTTAGGATCTTTAAATGAATTATTCTCTAAAATATATAATGTACAAGTATATTAAAAGCAGTGTAATGGAGGAAGAATGTAGGTACAAGCTTCTAGCTCTTTAGTCTCATCAGTTATTAGATATGAAAGTGAATCAAATGAACTATTCTGAGTCTGTTTCCTCATCTATACAACAAAAATGATACTATTTAACCTTACAGGTGGTTGTGACAAGTAAATGACACTTCTGGACTAAAGCTAAATGTTATGTTGTGTGTCTTTCTTAGCCGCAGACATTTGCATTAATTATACATTACCAATATCATACCAGTGGTTTACAAACAGCTTAGGAGGTTTTTTTAAAAAGCAGTAAGCTGTAATATAATCTGTGATATAAGCCGGGCATGTTAGCGCACGCCTGTAGTTCCAGCTACTTGGAAGGCTGAGGCGGAAGGATCGCCAGAGCCCAGCAGGTCGAGGCTGCACTCCAGTCTGGGCAATAGAGTGAGACTCCAACTCAAAATATATATATATATATATAATCTGTGTTGTATAATATAATATAGCCAGACACAACTGACAGTTTAATCTTTAACCAAGAAAAAATAATAGTTGAGGGAAAGCTCCATAATATTTTATTATTTAATCTCTGAATTTTTATTAGTGAAAATTATTTTAGAATTTGTTCAAAGAAGCCAATTTATTTACATTGTAGATAAGTATATACACATTCTAGCAGATGGCAGTCAGGTGTCTCAAGAAAAGGACATCTTTTGCTAATTTGAACAAAAACATTGACAGCCTAGTGGTAGCTTTGATTAGCAATATGGAAAATTTCCAGGTACGTTATTGCTTGTGACATACCTTAGAGAAGGAAAGAGAAAGGGGAAAGGTGTATATTAAAGAGTTATAACTGCTTGTAGTTTAAGGATATGACAGTAAATATTTGTCTTTTTTTTTTTGATTTGTAGTCTCACTCTTGTTGCCCAGGCTGGAGTGTAATGGTATGATCATGAACACCACAACCTCGACCTGCTGGGCTCTGGCAATCCTTCTACCTCAGCCTTCCAAGTAGCTGGAACTACAGGCACACGTCTCCATGCCTGACTAATTTTTTGTTTTATTGTAAAGATGAGGTCTCACCAAGTTGCCCAGGCTGGTCTGAAGCCCAACCCGTGGGCTCAGGCAATCCTCTCACCTCAGTCTCCCAAAGTGCTAGGATTATAGGCATGAGCCACCATGCCCAGCTAATATTCATCTTCAACTGAAGTTATTCAGGACAAGAGGCAGTGGTATGTTCTAATGTTTAGGTACATTGGCTCTGCAGTCATATGACCTCTTCTCTAACTGGTTATCTTATGCAAGCTGTTTAACCTCTTTTGTGCGTCAAAGTTTTTCATATGTAAAATGGAGATAATATTTATAGGATGGCAAGGTTATACATATTTATAGATACAATCTGTATGCTAACTCTGTTGTCTTTGTGTACATGCATGTAAATAAACTCTTGGGAAGCCTTTGGGCCTTTTTTGTTTTAAAATGTTATCTGGCTGTAGGATAAGATATCACACCCAACTCACATTCCACTCATAAGCCACTCTGAGTCAGGTGGGCAAGAGGAGAAGGGGAGGCACAGTGTATTCTGGGAAGGCTCCCTGCTCCCAGGGTAATTCTATTTCCTCCCATCGCAACCCCTGCTGCACTTCTGGCCATTCTTCCTAGCCACACCCCGCCCACCTCTCAGATGTTCATTACACAGTTCATGTTGTCAGCGAGCTCTGTCCTTCAGGAGAGCTGCTAACGTCCTTCTGTAGACTGATGCTTACAGTGGTGACTGGGGTGCCAGTCTGTATCCTCTACATGAACAGGTAGGCTCTAGTCATCCTGTTTTCTCACTTCCTTTGAACTTGTCCTCAGTTGCTTTGGGTCTTTGTTTCATCTTTTCACCAGGCCAGTTTGTTTTCTTCTCCAGAATTTCATTTCTCTTCTGTAAGTAGCAGACCACATAACTAAAACTTTCAACCGAGCACGGTGACTCAACAGTCATAATTCCAGAACTTTGGGAGGCTGAGGTGAGAGTATTGCTTGAGCCCATGGGTTCCAGATGAGCCTGGGCAACTTGGTGAGACCTCATCTCTACAGTAAAACAAAAAATTAGCCAGGCATGGTGGCGCGTGCCTGTAGTTCCAACTACTTGAAAGGCTGAGGTGGAAAGATCACCTGGGCCCAACAGGTCGAGGCCGCAATCGCCATGAGCATGCCATTGCGTTCTAGCCTGGACAACAGAGTGAGAGATTCCAACTCGAAAAAAAAAAATTCCAAATTTACCTTTAATAATCTACTGGTAATATTTAACATTTGGTTTATGGGGGACTAATATAACTATTAGCTGTTTGAGGTAAAAACCAGGTATTCTTTTTTTTTTAATTTGTGTATTAGAAACAGAGTTCTTTCTGTGTTTCCCCAGTCTGGTCTCAAACCTGTGGTCTCAAGCAGTCCTCCCACCTCATCCTCCCAAAAGTGCTGAGATTATGGGCATGAGCTACCACGCCGACCAAAATCAATATCTTTCATAAAATAACTTTATAGAATTCAGAAGAAACAGTTGAGATCCAGACATTGAGATTTTTCAAATGCATTTGTTTTATACTATAATAACAATGGCTGTCACTCTTTTACAGCTATGAACTTTTAAAATTAGATTGACTCATAATATCGTTAATATAACTTTTACTTCCATAAGTGGGATTAACAACTTCACATAAACTGGATTTTACATTAAAGCACTTTATGTTAAATTGCAACTTTATGGCTAAAATTTGTGAAAATTTGCCAGGTGTGGTAGCTCGTGCCTATAATGCCAGCACTTTGGGAAGTAGAGGCCAGAGGACTGCCTGAGTCCAGTGGTTTGAGATCAGCCTGGGCAACTTGGTGGCTCATGCCTGTAGTTCCAGCTACTTGGAAGGCTGAACCTCATCTCCACAATAAATAAAAAAATTAGCTGGGCATGGTGGCTTATGCCTGTAGTTCCAGCTACTTGGAAGGCTGAAGTGGAAGGATCGCCTGAGCCCAGCAGGTTGAGGCTGCAGTGTCTGTGAATGCCCTGCACCTCAGCCTAGGTGACAGAGTGAGACTCTGACTCAACAAAATACTAAATACATTTATGAAACTTGTTTGAACCTAGAAAGCTGATAAAACGTTTCTACTTACCTTTGTCAGAGCTTGATCTTAGTTTCTCTGCTAGCCTAAGAACCCTCATGAATTAACCATATAATCATGACTTATTTTATGTAAATGTGATATAAACCATGAGCTATTAAAATTCTTCTAAGAATTCTATCCCCATGTACATTTACACCAGTTTTTTTTTTTTAACTACTTGAGCATTTTTCCTCTTTATATGTTAAAAAAAAAAAAAAAACAGGTTGAAAACAATTACATGAAGTTTGGTGATTGTTGTGAATGAGCACGTTGATGACATTATCCCTCAAATATTAAAGTAGCAAGAGTGATTCACACAGATTTACTTTTAAATCCCTAGTTTTCATTCAAGCAGCTCACGTAACTTCCTTGCTAATAAGCATTTTGATATCCTCCTCTTCCCCAATAAAATTAGTTCCCCATCCATCTTAATGTGGCACTAGGTACAGCTCTTTTTTCCATAGCACTCACCAGGTGGTTCCATAGTGAATGACTTGAGGGTTCTCTGTTAGGTGTCTACGTACAGTGTTTCTTACAGGGTCTTGCATGATGTTGGTTATGCTATGTTGGAAATATGGGAAGTAGCTTTTGAAATGTATAACTTGCATTTTGACAAAATGACTTGCCAAGTGTTAAAAAGTTGTAAATGATGTGGAATGTGCTAATTGTCTCGTTTTTATTCCATAATCTCTATAGGACTATACAGGCTCCAGCCCAGGTTCCAGTGGTGGTGTCTCCTGGGAATCAGCAGTTGCATACAGTAACACTCCAGACAGTGCCACTCACAACAGTTATCGCCAGCACAGATCCATCAGCAGGTGCTGGATCTCAGAAGTTTATCTTACAAGCCATTCCATCATCACAGCCCATGACAGTACTGAAAGAAAATGTCATGCTACAGTCCCAGAAGCCAGGCTCTCCTCATTCAATTGTCCTGAGCCCTGCCCACGTACAGCAGGTTCTTACTAGCAACGTTCAGTCCATTTGCAATGGAACCGTCAGTGTGGCTTCATCTCCATCCTTCAGTCCTACAGCCCCTGTGGTGACCTTTTCTCCCCGCACTTCACAGTTGGTTGCTCACCCACCTGGCACTGTAATCACTTCAGTTATCAAAGCGCAAGAAGCAAAAACTCTTATACAGGAAGTAGAGAAAAAGGAGGTTGAAGATCATTTGAAAGAAGACACCGAGAAAACTGAGCAACAGCCACAGCCTTATGTGATGGTGGTGTCCAGTTCCAATGGGTTTACTTCTCAGGTAGCTGTGAAGCAAAATGAACTTCTGGAGCCCAACTCTTTTTAGTTACTATACCAAAGGTTATAAATGATTGTTTTTTAATTGAACAGTTTTCATTGTATGCAAACTATCTGATTGATTCTAAGATAAATTCTACAGAGGTTCCTAATTTTGTAATTGTCAAAAATAATTTAGAGTTAATTTTGGCTTTGTTAGATGAGGGAGGAAAACCCAAGTGTTTCTCTTTGTTCTCTAAATGTTTCAGAAGTCAGTTGTGAAGGAACAGGCATTTTATACTATGAAGATATTCTTTTGAGATTTTTTCAGTTGCTATATCATAAGCATTTTTGAAGTTACTTTGCTAATTTTACATGTATTAGCTTTTCTGATTCTTTTGTAAATACAGTACTTAAATGTAAGGCAACAGGACGTTTATATAGGAACTGTTTTCATTCCACTTGTATAAGTTAAGTCTTGACTCTTTCAAATACAAAAAAACCTATTTTATGCTTTTTAAAAATTTTGTCACTTAGATTGACTTTTAGGTGACTGCACTGTATAACGAACTATGAAGATGTAAAATAACATAAAAAATTGAAATGTGTCCATGATATGACTGAACCTGTTTCAGAAACTGGATGGTATAAAAGCATCAGTCTAAGAGTGACACTTCCACTACTAGCTATGTAACTTGGGCAAGTCATTTAGTTCTTTTCATAAAAGGAAGGGATGCATTGGACTAGACTAGATGATCTCAAGTTTTCCTTCTAGTTCTAATTTTTTTTCTAACACCAATATTTTAAAGTTCTGTCAATTAAAACATTATCAGACTATTTCCTAATATTGTAGAATAGCGAAAATATTGCAGAAAAATAGGTGATCCCTGCCCCCCCAATTCATTTTTCTATTCTCAGTAAAACTTGCCTTAAAATCCTTCCTGATAGTTCGTTTTTTAGATCACTGTACATTGTGGTCCATTAGTAAACTTACGTTGCTGAGTGCTAAATGGTATACTGCTATTCTGAGAGAGTCAAGGCTCTTTCTTAAGGGCCAAGAAAGCAACTTGAGACTTGGGCTAATCTGGCTAAGTAGTCAGTTGTTATAAAAGCATAATTACTTTATATTTTGGATTATTTTTTATTGGGGGTGGAGTGGGGGGGGAAATTGCATACAAAGATACCATATATATCCAAGTTTCTGAAATGAAATAGTTTTTAGATTACTTTTTCAACTGTAAATAATGTACATTTAATGTCACAAGATAATTTTTTCTGCAAATTTTCTAGTATAGCAAAGAGAAATTTTTGTAGATGAAAAATCATGTTTAGAGGCCTAATGTTATATGTTTTCATATTACAGAGTGAATTTGTATTTAAACAAAAATTTAAATTTTGGAATCCTCTAAACATTTTTGTATCTTTAATTGGTTTATTAAATAAATCATGTAAAAATTCTCAGTGATTCTTACAGAACAAGTGTGCAGGGAATGTTGCTAGTATTCGGTGTTACTAAATGTTATATCACAAACTTCATTAGTCAGAACTGCAGGATGTTATCCTCTCACTTTTCCTTTCTACCAGGCCACATGGCAGTTTCTAGACATCACACAGTGGATTACTGAATTCCAAAATCTAAAAATAGTAATCTCAAACACACTTTATTTTATGCACTTATTTTTGAGTCAGGGTCTCTCTATGTCACCCAGGCTGGAGTACTGGAGGCACAATCAGCACAGCCTCCACCTACTGGGCTCATTCAATCCTTCCATGCCACTATGATGGGCTGACTTTTCATATTTTTTTGTAGAGATGAGGTCTCACTATGTTGCGCAGGCTGGTCTCAAACTCCTGGGCTCAAGTAGTCTCTCACCTTGTCCTATCAAAGTGCTAGGATTACAGGTATGAGCCACAGCACTCTTCCTAAACACACTTTAAAACACAAGTTTTCTAATTAGAAGCTTTGTCAGTTAATTGTTAAACTTGGGAAGCGTAGAATAATGTAAGAAAATAAAAGTCTATGTAATCCAGTACATCTATACCCAGCAGTAAGTTTCACTTACTCATTTTCCTGTGTCTAGTAATAGTTTTTCAAAATGTGATTTTTCAAGGCCATGTAATATTATATTAGTATACTATCCAATTAAACAAAACCTTTTTAACTAGATAACATTAGCTTTAAATTTTTTTATCATTTAAAATAAATAGTGAATCAGTGTCTTAGTTCATTCATGCTGCTATAACAGAATACCTGACACTGGGTAAGTTGCAATGAACAGGAATTTATTTGCTAACAGTTTTGGAGACTGGAAAGTCTGATATCAAGACACTGGCAGGTTTGGTGATTCTGATTCCAAATGATGTCTGAACATTACATCCTCTGGAGGGAAAGAAGGCAGGAGGTCTAAGAGAGACTCTAGCCCCAGAAAACACTTTTATAAAGGCATTAAACCTGCCCGTCTGGGTGGAGCCCTCATGGCCTAATCACCTCTTAAAGGCCCCACCTCCCAATACTTTTACATTGGCAACTAAATTTCAACATAAGTTTTGGAGGGGATAAACATTCAAGCCATAGCATACAGTATATAGTTTTTTTAAAAATTAAGGCTCTTCCACTGTTTTATATTAATTATCCATATCATAGGGGATACCAGATAAGCTATCTTTATTTATAGTAATGAGTAACACCATTTAAATTTTATTTAGGCTGCCATTGCCATGTCCATTGCCAGGCCATTGCCTTGCTAAGCTATGGTGTGGCCATATGCTATTTGAGCTGTGACCAGGCCATGTTTCCTGGCTTTGGCCCCTTCCCCTACCTTGGGGAGGTGAATCTTCTCTTTCTCTCTCTCTCTCTCTCTAATTTACCTTCTAAATAAACTATATTTTCTAATCTAAAAAAAAATTTTTTTTAAATCTGGACGTTTGGTTGTTTTTGTTTTTGTTTTTTTAACCTTTAAAGGATATGGCATAAGAATTTTCAGAGATGCCTTTATTTTAGGTTACTGGAACAGTGTACAATTACCATGAATACTGAAATTTTACATGGAGGTGAGGAAAGCCATGTCGTAAGAACCTTAAAATTTTAAAAGCTTAATACAAGTTAATCTTTTGGTTTTAACTAAGTATTAGGTACTAAGGGATCTGTTTTTCATATCTATAGTCACCATCCTAATTTTAGCCCTAAAGGCTATTCCTGCTACAGTTTATTCATGTAACCAACATTTGAGTGTCTTCTCTATGCCAGGCAGTATTCCTGATGTTAAAGACACATTAGTGAGCCACACACATAAGGGTACCTTGTATAAAGTTATACAAAGCCTCCAAAGTGATTTGTTTGTGATCTCTTATTCCATTTTTCAGTATGAACTGTTTTTACTCACTTCTGACACCAAATATGTGGGTTTTTTCCACCCCAGCAACTAGGTGTAACACCAGCTGGGTGTCCTACAATTCAGTTCAGTTGTCAGCAGTAAGATTAACCACCTGGCGTTTGTATAAGTATAGTCCCTGCGGTTAAGGGTTCAGTCCCTTAAAACTGCCCAACTTCAGATGCCAGTTGCAAGTCCTAGGTTTCCACCTGTACTTCTGACCAACTGGCTATAAATCAGCAGTTCTTATGACCTCTCCTCAGGTTTGATAATTTGCTAGAATGGCTCAGAGAACTCAAGAAACCATTTTACTGGTTTACATTTTCATCATTTATTGTGCATTTGTTACAAAGGATACAACTCAGGAACACCCAAATGGAAGAGATGCGTAGAGCAGTATATAGCGAACAGAAGTCTTTTACTTTCTCTGAGTGCATCACCCTTCCAGCACCTCAAAGTATTCCCAGCCCAGAAGCTCTCCAAACCCTGTTATTTAAGGTTTTTTTGTGTTTGGTTTTGGTTTTTGATTCGGAATCTCACTGTGTCAACTGAGCAGGGATGCAGCAGCACAATCACGGTTCATTGCAGCCTTGACCTCCTGGGCTTGGGTGATCCTTCTGCCTCAGCCTCTTGAGTAGCTGGGACTATAAGTGTGTGCCCCTACGTCCAGATAATTTTTAAAATATTTTTGGAGATACGAGATCTCACTGTGTTGCCCAGGCTGGTCTAGAACTCTTGGGCTCAAGCAATCCTCCATCCGTGGCCTCCCAACGTTCTGAGATTACAGATGTACGCCACTGTACCCGCCTATTTTAGGGTTCTTAAGGTTTTATTACATAGGCATGACTGATTAAGTCATTGGTCATAGGTGATTGAGCTCAATCTCGAACCCCTCTCCCTTCCCAGCTCTCTAATCACATCATTGGCTCATCTGGAAATCAGTTTCCATCCCAAAACTATCTAGGGACCCATAAAGAGTTAACTTATTGGCATAAACTCGGTATAGTTGAAAAAGGCTTGTTGTGAATAACAAACTTAGTTTCTATCATCCCAATCACTCAGGAAATTCCAAGGGTTTTAGATGCTGTCAGGAATTAGGCACAAAGACTAAATAAAATGTTCTTATTGTATCACAATTATGCGTTTAATTACAGAATAGGTTTTCTAAAATATCCCCTGGGAATATGTAATGTTCATGTTCAGAAATCCTCCATACCTTTCTACTACCACAAAACTTAGCTTAACATTCACATTTCATCATACTGGGTCCTAAGCCCACTACTTCATAGTTAATGTTATTAAAATGCAGATTCCTTGGTCCTACCCTTACCTACCGAATTTGTGTTTCATGGGAACGCTCTACAGTGTGCATTTATAACTAGTATATTTCTTGCTACTTAGTGTAGTCCCTGATCACCCTTTGGGAACATTTTAGAAATACAAAACTTCAGACTTCACTCTAGACCTACTCAGAATCATATACATGTTTAAGTTTGAGAGGCATTAGGTATTCTATTTTTTTTGTTTAATGGGATTTTGCTATGTTGCCCAGGCTGGTCTTAAACTCCTGGCTCAAGTGATCCTCCTGCCTCAGCCTCCCAAGGAATTGGGGTTACAAGGGTGCACTACTGTGCCTGGTTTTAAAGGCACTATGTAATTTTTTTGCCATCCAGGCTGGAGTGGGATCATAGCTCACTGCAGCCTCAAACTCTTGAGTTGCTAGGACTAGAGATTAGTCACCCACACCACCATGCCTGGCTAATTTTTAAATATTTTTTGTAGAGTCAGGGTCTCACTATGTTGCCCAGGCTGGTCTCAAATCCTGGCCTCAAGCAATCCTTCCACCTTGGCCTCCCAAAGCACTGGGATTACAGACATGAGCCACTGTGCCTGAAGCCACTAGTAGGTAATTTTAATGTACACTTGGAAGTTTAAGAATCACTGATCAAAGCAAAGCACATGCTGCCCAGTGACTTCCGGAAATTCCTGGTCCACAGTGTCAAGGAGCTGGAAGTGCTGCTGATACGCAACAAATATTGTGCTGAGATTGCTCACGTTTCCTCCAAGAACCACAAAACCATTGTAGAATGCTGCCCAGCTGGCCATCAGAGTCACCAATCCTAATGCCAGATTGCACAGTGAAGACAATGAATAGACAGCTTATGTGCATGTTTTATTTGTGTTTAAATAAAACCATAAAAACTGCAACAACAACAATCACTGATCTAGCTCCAACCTATCCTTTAAACCTTTTTTCACAATGTTGCTGTACATTTATTCATTCAACCAACATTTACCGGAGAGAGTATCAAGTATGACTTCACAGTCACTGAATTTCGGCATACAAAGCTGAGAGAATATAATGTCTACCCTCCAGAGACACATTGGGGTTAACCAATGAGGCAGCTCACTGCTGCAGGCGACCTGCCAGTGGCTCTCACCATCCATTCAAACCAAGGGGATCAGTATTTTGGGCCCACCTATAACCCTTCGTGGTATATTAGTCAGGGAGCTCTACCTAATGCGCTGGTATTTCTCAAGATTCCATGCTAGGCTGTGTTTCTGGTACACATATGCATCTTTGATAATCTCATTCACTTCCCTGGCTGACATTCACATCCCATCAATCCTGCAGTCCAGCTAATTTTCCTCCTAAAAAGCTTTTAATTTGTCATTTTTCATCTTCATGTTTTTATCCAACTATCCATTGCTTGCACGGAATATTCAAACTTTTGAATCAGGTTTACAAGGACCAGCATGATCTGTTCCTATCTTATGTCTTTTTTTTTTTTTTTGAGTCAGGGTATTACTCTGCCTCCCAGGCTGGAGTGCAGTGTCATGATCACTGCTCACCAGAGCCTCATCCTCCTGGGCTCAGGAGATCCTTCCACCTCTGCCTCCTGGGTAGCTGGGAATACAGGTGCACACCACTGCACCCAGCTAATTTTTAAATTTTTTGTAGAGATGAGGTCTCGCTGTGTTGCCCAGGCTAATCTTGAATTCCTCAGCCCAAATGATGCTCCCTCCTTGGCCTCCCAATGTGCTTGGATTATAGATGGGAGCCACCACACCCAGCTCCCTATCTTATGT